GGAAGGGACCCCCCCCACCCAGGGATCACCAAGTCCGAGTTTTAAGTGGGTGGCCCACGAAAGGGGGTGAATTCCAAAAAGTGGATGGTCCTGGCAGGGGTGAATTCCATCTCCCGGGGTGGGGGGGGTGTGGGAGGCATTAAATCAGCTCTAATTAAAACTACTCAGAGTTAATTTGGGCGCAGATTTTAGTGATAAAAAAGCAGAGGAGTTGGGGGTATTTAGGGGGGGGAGGGATGTCACCCCCCCCAGCAGGTTTTTGGGGTGGTCACGAGTGGGTTTTCCTCCCTCTCTGTAGGATCCTGAATTTCTCGGTACATTTTTTTGGGCTCTCTCTCTCTCTCTGCTCCTCCAGCGCTGGCAGCACCCCAGGAGATGGGAAGACCATGCCCTGCTCCCACCAATTTACCTCCATGAGGCAGAAAAGAAACCCCCAGGGCTCTCGTTTGCTCCCGATGCTCCTTTAGGTGTCTCTATTTTGGTTTTTTTGGGGGTGATTTAAAAACGCAGCTCGAAGGCTGGAGGGAGGGGTGGGCTGGTGAGGTGGGATTTGTTCTTTTCTTTCTCCTAAAAACGATGCCAGACAAAATATCAAACCCCCTTGATCCGCGGGTTTTAATGGGGAGAAAGTGAAAAAAAAAACAAACAAAACAACAAAAAAACCAAACCCAAACAAATCAAACGAATCTCCGGTTAATGGGGCTGGAACGAGCCGTGCAATTAGAGTTGACTCAAGATTGCAGAGCAATAATAAATAAAGAGCGGGCAATTCCTTGGAGGAAAATTAAAGGCTTGTGGTCGGGGAGCTCGTTTGGAGCCAGCAGGAAAAAAATTCCCACGGGTTTGGGGTGTGGGATACGGGGGGGTGTGAACACACCAAAAATAGAATTTAATCCTTCAGCTCTTCGAGGGGTTGGCCCGTCACCAAAGTGTAAATATCCAAAAAGTGTTGGGGTTTTAATTCTTTTTTTAAATTTTTTTTTCTGGCTTACTTTGCTGCTTCTTACCCAAACACAAAAGGCCATAAAAAAAACCCCAACAAAAAACCAATAAAAAGTGTAAAAAGCGATGCCTGCCTGATTTTTATGAGCCTCCCACTGATCAGCAGGAGCCTCCGGGGGGGTTGCTCAGAGTTTGGGGATGGTGGGGAAGGGGTAGGGTTGAAAAGGGGGGGTCTGGGGGCACCACCCCCGGTGTGGGACCCAGTCAGGACGTGCCTTGGGATGGGGAAAGGTTTTTGTGCCACCCCTAAAACCCCCCCGATCCCCCCAAAAAAACCCCAGCCAGGCTCACCCAGCCCAGCCAGCTTTGTCCCGTTCCCAAGGAAATGCCAACACAAGAAGGATTTTGGGAATGTGACACTTTATTTGGCACCTCAAGGTGGGGGGGGAGGGGGGGCAAAAAGCACGGCCCTTGGGGGGCGTCAGTGGGGCCCCTTCCCCCGTGGGAGCTCCTGAGGCCACGGGAGAGGATTTTGGCAGCCCTGGGGTGGGGTGGGGGCTTGGCCACCCCTCACTTCATCTTCTGCTGGGGCATCTGGTGTATCTGCTGCTGCTGCTGCTGCTGCTGGACCTGCATCTGGGGCTTCCCGTGGCAGCTGGAGCCACCAGAGCTGTGACAGCCACCGGAGCTGCCACCAGAGCTGTGACAGCCACCACCACCCCCAGAGCTGTGACAGCCCCCACCACCCCCAGAGCTGTGACAGCCCCCACCACCCCCAGAGCTGTGACAGCCACCAGAGCTGCTCCTGGAGCTGTGACAGCCACCAGAGCTGCCACCAGAGCTGTGACAGCCCCCAGAGCTGCTCCTGGAGCTGTGGCATCCACCACCACCCCCAGAGCTGTGGCATCCACCACCACCCCCGGAGCTGTGACAACCCCCAGAGCTGTGACAGCCCCCGCTGCTCTGGCGGGTGTACGAGTGGCACTGGTCCTTCTCCTGCCGGGAGCACATCGTCCTGGGCTGGGAGGGTGACGTGACCTGTGGGGGACACACACACAGGAACCATCAGGGGGGCTGCTGCAATCCCGCCGTGCCCATTATCCCCCTCCCATCCCCCCCAAACCCCCCCTCATTGTCCCGGTGCCGCCACCACGCCGGTGTCCCCCCGTGCCCAGGATCCCTGGGGGGATCTGGAGCGTTTTCCTGCATCCAGGAGGGAGAATTCCATGCCTTGGGTGCAGCAGCAGCAGCAGCCACGAGACAGGTCCTTGCCCTCCCTCCCTGCATCCCACACCCCTTAACCCTTCCCATCCCAGCGCTCCAAACTCCTCTTCCCTCGCCGGGAAACGATTCCCCGAGGAAGGAAAAAAACCCCACCCGTGCTCCCAGACTTACCTGAGCTTGAAAGGGAGGGGAAAAAGCAAGAGGAGGGAGTGAAGATGCCAGGCCAGGGGGAGCAGTTTTATAGAGATCCCGGCTGGTTGTCCCGGAAATGAGCCAGGTCCCCGTCACGGGGGATCCATTAAATTCATCACCCAATCCCCAGCCCTGTGTTTACATCGCCCTTCCTGACTCACCAGCGATGGATATCGGGCCTTTTTTTTTATTTATTTTTTTTTTTTTTCTTATCTGTTTCCTGTGCCACCTCAGAGTTTTTAATTGCCCGGATTTCCAAAAGCCTCGTCCGCTCGCGGGGGTTTGTTGTGCGAAATTAAGCGCGGGTTTTAATTACCAGCCCCCATCTCCCGAGGCTCTGCTGCCAGAGCCTGATCCCTGCTGGGGAACCAGCACCAAATAAAGCCAGGAATAAGCCAGGGAAACGCAAAGTGGCTCTCTCCCTTCTCCAGGAGATGCTCCATCCCAAAGCTGTCGCCGTGGTGGGAACAACCAGCGGGGATGAGGGCGAATTCCTGCTGGATTTCTTCTCCAGAAGGGTCTCACATCATCACCAAGGGGGCTTCTAGAACCCTCTTTGGCCTAAAAGAGCATGGATTCACCCCGAAACGCAGCAAGAGGAGGGCGTGGGGGGGCTGTGGGAAGCCTGGCTGTGAGCGAGGTGACGAGGACGGGCCGTTTCCACCTGCTGATCGTCGATTGCTGCCCAAGAGAAAGGCCTTGGAAGGCGTCCAGGGGAGGAGGGAAGCAGGGACTGTTTTGAGCTGAAAGGTCAAGGCACATCCACTCGTTTCGCTGCTCTCTCAGCGCCTCAGGGGGCACCAAAATTCATCTCCTTCCTGCTCTTCCTGGGAGCTGTGGAGTGGTCTTGGGCAACCTGGGCTCGCCGTGTCCTGCTTTGAGGTTGGAAAAGAGCTCTGGCATCACCAAGAACAACCTTTAAACCTGTCCCAGCCTGAGCAGGGTGGGGGGGCTGTGGTGACGATGGCAAATTCCCCCCCCCCCCCAAAAAGGGCTGTGATGTCACATCCAGGATTTGGGGCGCTCGAGCTGCTCCCAGTCTCCCAAATTTGGGACGCTTGAACTGCCCACCTGCCGGTGGAGGGGTGTGGGTGTTGCTGGGAGGTGACAGATGGGGAGGATCGCAGAGCTCTGCCCTGACCCTGCGGGCTCAGCTCACCCAGCACGAAACCCTGCCGGTGTTTTCCCTGCTGGTCGTCACCGAGGTCACAGAATCCCCTCCAGAACCCGGTGGCTGTGGCTGTAAATGGGAGAAGAACTGGGAAAACAACCCCTCAGAGCCAGGGGAGTGCTGGAGGAGGTCCCTGCCTGAGCCAGGGGGCCAATTCCAGCCCTGTGTCCCCCTCCCTGGGCTGTGACATCCCAACATTCCCCCCGGGGGATTCGAGTTTTCTGTGAGTTGGGGTGCACTCTGGGTTTGTCTTTTCCAGGAGGATTTTGGGAGCTGTGGTGTCTCAGGATCTTGGGATGGTTTGGGACCTTTAAAATCACCCCCTTCCACTTCCTACCACACCTTCTGCTATCCCAGGTTGCTCCAACCTGGCCTTGGACACTTCCAGGGATGGAGCAGCAGCCACAGCTTCTCTTGGAAAACCCGTGCCAGGCCCTCCCCACCCTCACAGCCAGGAATTTCTTCCCAATATCCAACTTAATTTTTCCCTCTGAACCCACCCCCCCCTCCTTGTCCCATCACCCCTTCCCTCTTTCCTTTTTTTTATTGTGGTTCCAGGGAAAAGAAATCTCTTTTAAGGTGCAAAAAGCCAAAGGAACCCCCAAAACTTGGGACGAGCGATCACTCCGAGGGTTTCCCTGGCAGGAGTGGGGTTGGCAGCCCCTTGGAGCAAAAGCTGCAACCACATCCCAGCTCCAAAAACCCCCTTCCTGGGGGGCTTGGGAAAAACGAGGAGGAGGAGGAGGAGGAGGAGTTCAAGGAAAGGCCGACACGACGAGAGAGGTCTTGGGAACGTGACACTTTATTGGGCACAGCCCTTTGGGGGGCATCAGGTGAAGGTAACAGAGAACCCCCCCAGCGCTGCCCCTTCCCCAGGTGGCTCCAGAGAGGTCACAGGAGGGGATTTTGGCAGGGAAGGTGGGGAGGGAGGCGGGTCCAGGCGTGGCCTCTGCAGGTGGAGCTGGGGGACGTGTGGGGGACACCCCCCCATCACTTCATCTTCTGCTGGGGCATCTGGGGAATCTGCTGCTGCTGCTGCTGCTGCTGCTGCTGGACCTGCATCTGGGGCTTCCCGTGGCAGCTGGAGCCACCAGAGCTGTGACAGCCACCGGAGGAGCCACCAGAGCTGTGACAGCCACCACCACCCCCAGAGCTGTGACAGCCCCCACCACCCCCAGAGCTGTGACAGCCACCACCCCCGGAGCTGTGACAGCCCCCAGAGCTGCCCCCAGAGCTGTGACAGCCCCCAGAGCTGCTCCTGGAGCTGTGGCATCCACCACCCCCAGAGCTGTGGCAGCCCCCGCTGCTCTGGCGGGTGTACGAGTGGCACTGGTCCTTCTCCTGCCGGGAGCACATCGTCCTGGGCTTGGGGTTGTGACCTGTGGGGGACACACAGAAACCATCAGAAGGCCTTTCAAGGGAAGATAAATCTGGGTGTGCCCCCGTCCAGTCTGGGCAGGATCCCACAAGTCGGTTTTAAAGCTTGTCCTGGGTTCTTTTTCCCACCCCCCAACCTGGGATTGTCCCAGCAAAGCCCAGTCCGGGCCATGCTGGGCTTTCTGAAGAGGAGCCACCACCCCAGAGTCTCCCTCCAAGTCCAAATCTCTGCTCCTGCTCCTTCAGCAACCCCTGCCCTCCCTCCTCACCCACCTCCCCTCTCACCACCACCCTCAGAACAAACCCCCAGGAGTTCCAAACCCACCCCCCATCCCCAACGAGCCCCAAATCGCTGCTCTCACCTGAGATGCTCAAGCAGCAAAGACACGAGGTGGGAATGAGGCTTTCCGGGCCAGGAGGGCTTTTTATCCCCTCCCTGCACACCCCACCTGGAGAGGAAGCCCCTCCCTTTTTCTCTGAGCTCTCCCCGTTCAATTAATCCAATTAATTCAATTAATTCGTCGATTTTTTTTTTTTTTTTTTTTGGCCTCCCCACTCAGGGAGTGACTCACCCCCCATCCAGGCTGGGATTGCCTCCTCCCTGCAGGTCGCCTTTCCTGTGCCACAGAGATTTAATTGGCAGCTCTGCCCGTGGGGGAGTCGTGCGTGGGTGGCCTCGGTTTCCACCAGCAAGCCGGGTTGGTTTTGGGGTGTTGATCACGACGTCCTTCTGGAAGGCCTCGAGGCTCTGGAGTCCTGCAGAACTCCCCTGAACACAGAGATGTGTCTGGGGGTGCTAAAATAAGGGAGAAAACTCTTTTTCAACAGTATTTGCCTCCGTGCTGGGCACTGGTTGGGTGGGGGAGGGGAACCCCGAGTTCTGTGTCCAGGTTTGGGTCCCTCAGGGCAAGAGGGACATGGAGCGTGGTCAGAGAAGGGGATGGGGCTGGAGAAACTCCTGAGGGAGCTGGGGGGGGGCTCAGCCTGGAGAAAAGGAGGTTCAGGGGGGACCTTCTGGCTCTGGAATTCCCTGACAGGAGGGGGGAGCTGGGAAGGGTCAGGATCTGCTCCCAGGGAACAGGGACAGGAGGAGAGGGAACAGCCTCCAGCTGTGCCAGGGGAGGGTCAGGGGGGACATCAGCAGGAATTTCCCCATGGAAAGGGTGGTCAGGCCTTGGCAGGGGCTGCCCAGGGAGGTTTTGGAGTCCCCACCCCTTGGAGGTGCCCAAGGACTGAGTGGCACTGAGTGACAAGGCGAGGACGGGACACAGGGTGGGCTGGATGGGCTTGGAGGGCTTTTCCAACCTCAATGATTCTGGGATTGTGTGATTTGACAGCCCCCTCTGTTGGCTCATTCCCCCTGGAGCCATCCAAACCATCCAGCGTCGATGAGAACCAGAAGATCCTCCCCCCCCCCGCCCCCCAAATTTTTTGGGGTTTGTTTTGGGCCGGTCAAAGGTTTCCTGCTGCTTCCACAAGGACCACAAGGCAGCTGGAATCCTTATTTTTGGAAGGGAGAAGCCCTGCCCTGGTGGGTGGCCCATCCAGGGTCATTAGCAAGGTGCATAATTACGTGGCTGGCTTTCGGCCCGTGAGTAATTCCCGAGTGGAGCCGCTGGTTTTATTCCAGGTTTTTATTCCCCCACGGGTGGGGTTGTCACACCCCCGGTGTTGTCACACTGTGGGGATCTGTCAGACCCCTCAGGGACTTTCTCCAACTTGTCTTTTTTTGGGTATTCCCTGATCCCCAGGGAGTTAATCCTGTCAGGATTTCTCTTCCGATGGATGTTTGCAGCGAGAGCTGAGCCCGAGCAAGAATTTGGGATACTCCCTGTACCTTTCCTCTGCGTGGGCTGGGAATTTTTGTTCAGGACCAGGGAGCTCGTTTGGCCCTTTCCTGTGGCAGATCTTTCAGTCATTAAACTGGAAG